TACAAAAGTGCTTAAGCAAACATTTTACATCTAAACTCTCCAGATTAGACAATACACATAGGGACTCCGATATTTATCTTATGAAATTCAGCTCTGAAAGGGAAGGGTCTCTTACACAATAACATGATAAAAATGAACAATGTCAAATTTTTCAGTTACAGTAAATAACTAACCCCTTATAAGGCTCAATTATAGTAAAGCGTAATAAAAGCGTCGCCTATGGCCAATTTTCGATGGTCGTTTTTTTGCAATCTTGCGGCTTGACACGTTTGGCACCTATTTACCCGATGTGACCCCCATCTTTCATATTTTACCAAAAATATGGGCGAGAATAAATGTTTAACATAACCGAGCAAAAAGTTTGTTTTTTCTCTCTAAATTTATGGTACCTTTTCCATTATATAGTAAAAAATAACCCCCCACCCACCTGTGGTGATTATATAACTCTAAAAGAAAGCTCCACCTGTCCCCAACAAATGTTAACATAAATTGCAAGGCCGGTCATGGTGACTGGTGACATTTTTGACTGGCTGGTGAGAGACAAGCTAAAATTTTTCAATCCCTGCCTTTAAGTACTTAAATATATAAACATTCTAAAATACAAAATTTTTACATGGCTGTTACCCGATTATTATATAAAAGTCATGATTTAGGACTACAGGTCACCCAATACCTATTCAACATTAGCTGGTGGTTAGAGAAGAAAATTTGTGGCGTTACCTTAAACTGTTCACTTGTATAGGAACGAAGAGCTTCTCGGAGTTTCCCTGCAAGGAAAAAAAAAAAAAATATTACAAAACATGACAATGTTATCTAGCAGAGAACATGAACACAGAATTGGTTTCCTTATAACCAGCAGCTTCCTGATAACTCAATCTAGACTGCTGCAGAGTAAACAGAGCAAGGAACTAATACAAGAAGTAGTGTAGTGATCAGGGAAATCCCCCCGGAAATCCAATATCCTACACCATACAATTTATATTAGGGATGCGCAGATACTTTTCGAGTACCAGTGCAGATACTTGGCATTTTCATGAGAACTACCAGGGTTGCAGCGGTTGCAGCTGGGACCTGGCTCTGGCGCTCCACCACTGTCCTGAAATCATTAGTCTGTATTGTTTTAGAAAAACTGTCACATGACAATAAACAGAAATGTATCAGTACTCATACTTGTAAGTACTCGGCAAGTACCAGTACTCGTACTCACAAAACTGGTATCTGTGCATCCCTTTATTTATAAAAACAAAATCGTACATTAAAAAACAGAGATGTACAAATCCCAGGAGCTCCGTGTGCTCCTTACAAATAACAGCTGCCTCCTAATTTTTTAATTTTTCTCTAGTCTAGTCTTGGAGCTCAAAAGTATCGGTACATGTACTCGTACTTGGTATCTGTGCAACCCTAATTTATACCAATCATGTGGTCACTGATGGCAAGCCTGAACAGGTGACATCCATGTGTACAGAGTACTCCAGACAAATATAATAAAACAATTCTGGATTTTATAATGCTGTGCGCATGAATTTACACAAAGACCTTTAATACACCATTAAATATAAACGTTCATTATATCCACATGTACTGCTAGAGATCAATAATGGAAATTACTCAAAAAAGGTCAGACAGAACATCTAGTAAGATGTGACTGGTGAATCCAAATTTATTTTCCTTTTTTACCATAACTATGAAAGAGAATGTTTGCCAAATTTTGAAACTTTTGTGAAAAATAAAAATTGCGACACAGTTGATTCTTTTTTTCAAATGTTAATAAAATTTACCAGTTTTAATCCACAACCAGCTATGATTTTCTAAAATAAAAGGGATAGTTCATTCACTTTATGCCCCCCTTGGGTTAGATTCACAATTGTTTTGGTTTGTTCTTTTGCCAGATGTTTTTTTCAATTACAGTCAATGTAAAGGCATGTCAACACACAATAATTCACGCCATAACATGTACATTAACACGCATTGGCATGCGCCATGATACACATTTTAACATACATTGTGACGAGCTTTGATGCAGTTCCATTTATTTTTTTTAATTCAATAAATTTATTATTTTGCCAAAAAAAAAAAACATAACAAAAGCATGAACAATAATAAGCAGATTATATATACACACACACATATAAAAAGTATAAAAGGCTCATCCAAGACATATGAACAAATGGCAAGTCACTTATAGCAAAGCAAGGGCAACGGGTGATAATTAGCCAACAATTGCATATTTAGGTGTGTCAGATGTCCATGACAATCGTAAGAAAATCTGCAGAAAAAGAAAAAAGGAAAGGAGAGAAAAAAGAGAAGAGAGGGGGGGGGGCGGAAGAGGTTGTAAGAGGAATGAGGAAAAGTAAAATAAGAGGAAGGGAAAAGGGAAAAGGGAAAAGGGTGAGGATTGCCAAGGGGAATGCTTAGAGCTTCATATATAAAATCAGGAGGCTCCAGGGTTCAAGGATTGAGCAGCTTCCTAATATTTAATACAATACGTGGGACTCCGAAATCACCCATTTCCATTTATTTTAATAGAAAATGTATCCGACAAAAAAAAAAAAATCTCAAAAAGGTGCGAATCCAGTCTCCATGTTTTAAAGTAATGACCGATCAAACCTGCCTTGAACGTTTGATTCAAGGCATACCACATGCAAATAGCTCTATGGAATCCGGCTGCCGCAGATTACAACGAATAAAGATTAAGGTCAACTGATGGCATGCATTGCAATAAATTGCACTTTAAAGCAGAACTAAACTGAAAAAATAAACTTACTAAAAAAAGGTTTTACTACACACACTGAACCTTTGTGATTATTACTACTATACAATCATTTTCCAGCCCCCACCATTTGACATACGAGGGGCATATTGCCCGATAGAAGAACCACTCACTAACCTCACATGGGATCTTGGCAGAATAGATCTAAAAGGAACAAGTCAACCAGACAACTGGCTTTTAAAGCTTTAGTTTTTGCATTTTCTTTTGCATATGGAAAACGTCAAATAATATAAACAGTATACTCATTTCCAATAACTTACTTACCAGCAATGGTTTCTTTTTGTGCTTTAACTGAAGGTGGGGGAATCACATCCTCCAGGCCATCTGAATCCTCACCTTCTGACACCCACTGAGAGTTTGAAGAACTACCAAACTGGCGGGACCAATACTCATGCCTTAGCCATTCCATAACAAAGTCCCAACCTGAGTCAAAGCAGGACATGAGTTTAGTGTAACATGCAACAACCGGACAACATATGAAATATCAATTTGTACCATACATATTACAAATACATACCACTTTTACAGCAACTACATTTTAATTATTTTTCTGTATTGGTTGGTTATGTTTTATTACCCTTTCCTGTTCCCAGCACATTCTAGGATTGATTGAAAACAAAAAGCCTTGATTGCAAAATACCTTTTCACCCTACATTGTAGTATATTAATAAATAATGGTCAGGATCCCAAAAATAAAAAATCGAAATTTGTTATGCCATTTGTGACTGAGCAGTTTTATATAGCGGTGATGACCCAGACAAAATGATGTCAACTGGAATATTTTACTCAAGCGTTTACATGTGGTGCACGTCACAGCAGTTTGGGGGCACTTTAAAGAAACCATAGAAATATACACTATATTCCAAAAGTATTGGGACACTCCAAATTATTGGATTCAGGTGTGTTTTGCTACTAAATATTCCCGGTCAACTGTTACTGGTATTATAACAAAGTGGAAGCAACTGGGAACAGTAGCTCAGCCACGAAGTGGTATCCCACATAAAATGACAGAGCGGGGTCAGAGCATGCTGAAGTGCACACTGCACAGAAGTCACCATTTGCAGAGTCAATTAGCTACAGACCTCCAAACTTCAGATTGGCACAACAGTGTGTAGAGAGCTACATGGAATGGGTTTCCATGGCCGAGCAGCTGCATCCAAGCCTTACATCACCAAGTGCAATGCAAAGCGTCGGATGCAGTGTAAAGCACGCCGCCACTGGACTCTAGAGAAGTGGAGACGTGTTCTCTGGAGTGACGAATCACGCTTCTCTGTCTGGCAATCCGATTGACATGTCTGGGTTTGCCGGTTGCCAGGAGAACGGTACTTCCCTGACTGCATTGTGCCAAGTGTAAAGTTTGGTGGAGGGGGG